ACAAGAAGGGGCTGGTCTTACAGACCCAAAGCTGCGGGATCTCCATGGCACACGATAACAACAGAATATCCAAGAGGAGCACGGTGAAGGCCCCATGTCGTAGGTGTAGCAAAAACTAGAGACCTGGAGCCAGACCAAGGACTCATTGCAACGAGCACTTGCCAATCATGACGTGTGGACTAAAGGACTGTGCGAGTCACTGTGTCCACTACAGCTTCCACGATGAGATTTTTCTTTTAAGTTTTGTTTTATCCTGGGGTGGGGGCAGGGTTGCTGCAAGGGCAGAGGGCAGATGGGAAGCGACAGGGAGATGAGTGGGACTGAGACGCATGATGTGAAGCCCGCAGTCAGTAAAAAGTTGAACTGGAAAAAAGAAATGCACGATTTGGCAAGAATAATTCAAGATGGAGAAGCTGTATTTGCAAAGCTGTTCACGCTGGTGCTATCTATGACAGCAAAAAATAAAAAGAGAAAAAGAAGAAAACCAGGTGGTTTCCAGCCTAAACGACCCACAATCAAGGAAAGCCTGAATGAATTATATCAGAACCTTTATATAGCCATAAAGACCATGAAGCCACGTGGCAACAGTATATGGGCAGCGGGAAGAGACATCAGAAGTGCACATGCCTTAGACTAGAAGAGCATTCAGAGAACTGTGGTTATATTGCCAGCATGTTAGAATTATGGTCATAAGCTGTGTTTTGTTTCATGTTCTTACACACACACACACACCAGTTATGGCAACACAAATACACTTACCCAGGTCTACTGATCCTGGCTCACCCTTGGCTTCCTTTCTGCGCTGAGCAGTCTGAGGCTCTCACCAAGAGGCCTCTGCTGTTGTGGGAAGGTTGCCTGGCTAAGGTTTGCAGAGGGGCCTTTCTGAGGTTCCTATGTATCAACCTAAGTCACCATTCTGGGCATATCTCTGAAGGAAAGATCAAGGTATTATGTACACCATAAGATCATCTTCCTTCCAGTCATATCGGCAAATTTATACTCATTGTATTCTCTCAGGCCAGGGTGTCCTCATAACTGGTGTCAGGAAACTATAATTTTCTAATTTGGATATGGATTTATAGACAGCAAAGAGAGCAAAAATGTATGGAACTTCCCATAGTTATTCAACATATAGTGCTTTTCCTTTTTGTATTTGAGATAAAGTCTCACTATAAAGCGGCCAGTCTGGCCATGAAACTTGCAATCCTCCTGCCTCTGCCTTCCAAGTGCTGGTAACACAGACATACACCCTACTCCTAAGAACTTTCATGTGATTCCATACCCACCCACAAACACTCCCAATGCTTCCTATTATATTGATGGTCCCTAAAATGGCCTTGTTGAAAAGGTTCATGATCTATGTACAGGATACACAAATCCCTTGAATACAGGTAAACCAGGCATGTGACTATTACCACATTAGAAAGGGTGTTTTCCTATCAGCAAAGTCTGGGTGTTGTGATCTATAAAAATGGCTTCACTTCATTTTGACTTAAGGACAGAGAGTTCAGAACTATCCTTATTCTCCCAAAGTTGTGTCATAAGACCTAAAAGTCTAAGGCATGGCTACTGTAGGATGTTTGGTCTTAGGTGTGGATGGCTTATCTAAATAACAAGAGACTTCATCTAAGGTGTGGTTGTTCTTAACCCTCAAGTTCAGATAACAAGAGATTAGTGTACTGAACGTTTGGAAAATTAAGGAAGTAAGTTTATTTGTTTCTTGTATCTTGATAAAGAAGTCTCTTGCCTTCCCCTCTTTGTGGTTTAGGTATATTAGAATGTTGAAGAATAAACTTGGGGCATTCAGTATTCACTGTATTGACGTCCCGACTCTATTCTGTGTCTCCATCTTTTCTTTAGTATCTCTACCTGCCATTTCCTCAATCCACACTCCCCCTCATGGGTATAACCAGGATCCTACACCTGGGGACACCTGTGCTATAGAATATGATTTTAACTATGTAAAGATGTGTTACATTTGTTTCACCTTGCCTGCCTAGGGAACCTGATTGGCCTAATAAAAAGCTAAAAGACCAATAGCTAGGCAGGAGAGGGATAGGCAGGGCTGGTAGGCAGAGTGAATAAATAGGAGGAGAAATCTAGGCTCAAAAGAAGAAGAACAAAGAGAATGAGGGAGAAAGAGAGGACCACACCGGGGGCCAGAAGCCAGGTAACCACCAGACAGCCAGTCAGGAGGAGCAGTGAAAGTAAGATGTACAGAAGGAAAGAAAGGTAAAAAGCCCTGAGGCAAAACATAGATGGAGAGAAGCAGGTTAAGTTATAGGAGCTAGTGGGACAAGCATAAGAAGATAAGGCCAAGCATTCACAACTAGTAAGAAGTCTCTGTGTCATGATTTGGGAGTTGACTGATAACCTAAAAAAAAAAAAAAAAGAAAAAAAAAAGCCTGGTCTACACCAATAGTGGACAGCCCTACTTTCTTTCAACAAAGAACTCTTCAAGAGAAAAAAGTTCCCATTGTCCAAGGTTGAAGGGGGCTGAAAAGCAGAGGGCTCTTCCAAGAACTTGCAGAAAGTTATCAAGCAAACAAGATAATTAATCTTAGAAACCGAGATAATTAATCTTAGGAGAGAAATCAAAAAGAAGAGTGATGGCAGGCAAGGCCTGGAGGATTCTTTTGAGACTTCATCAAGCAAAGCAATTTGAGTTCTCGAGTCTACACTGTGAGTGTGATGCAGGGTAACTCCTTCTCACCAAAGTGAAGCGAATTCTTCACTTAGGCGAGTGGGGCAAACAGCAAGAACGTGTGGGGACCAGCATGTGAGACAGAGAAGCTCATCAGTCCAAGGAACTTAGTTTGAGGGCACATTTTATTTTGAAGTGCCAGAGAACTAACATATACCAGCAGCACAATTAAAACAAGTCACCCTTTAAAACTCATACATGGGAAATTTATTACTAAAATGATAAACAACAGGGACAATACAAAAACAAAAGAACCTTAGAGAGTGATAAGAAAGCAATTGAAGAACACCATCAATAGAACTTATTTTCATTTACTTAACAATAATTCACTTTACATTCCCCAGATTGTCATTTCATTTTCCATGAAATACATAAGCATCTATATACTGAAAGTCAGGAGAAATCTTTAACTTTAAACTTATTATTTTATGTGTATGAGTGTTTTACCTGCATGTATATTATGTCCCTGCATCATGTGTGAGCTTGGTGCCCGCAGAGGCCAGAAGAGGATGTTGGGTACCCTGGAACTAGAGTTACAGATGTTTCCAAGCTGCCACGAGGGTGCTGGGAATTGCAATTGGGTCCTCTGGAAGAGCAGCCAGTGCTCTTAACTGCTGAGCTGTCTCTCCAGCTCTGAAATCTTTAACTTTCAATAATGTTTTTATTTAAGATAGGCAAAACAAAAATAGCAATTCTGGTTCTTCAGTATGCATAGTATCTGTGTGTGGGGAACACCAGACCTTGAGCAGAGACCCACTTCCCCTTCTGCCTGGGAGTAGGCAGCTGTAAGACAATGTTTAGTAAAAACATGTTTACTAAAAACGATACAATAAGTTCCTGAAAAAGGCCTTCCCACGGAAATCGCCCTGACCTCGACCTTGTCCAAAGACTAATCGCACCTTAAAAACCCACACACATCCACCTCTGGAGTCAGAGCAGAACCAGCCAGGGTTGAGGAGAGAGCAGAAGCTTCTCTGGTGGGAGCCTTTCTTAGGAAGTTTTCTTGAACCTTTTTGGAGCCTGTTTAAAGTTTTCTTTACATCGTTGAACAAGTCTCTGTGTTGTCAATCCCCGACACCCTCCGCACGTTCTCGGACACAGGCCGCGCAGCAGACTCGACATCTGTGGTACAGTAGATTGATCACATAATATATTTTGACAGCTTTCATTATTCTTCTAATATTCATACATAATTTGTAAACTCTCATCTTTAAGTAAACTAGAGTCTAAATTCAATAAATACTATACAAAGAACAATTATAAAGCAGTGTTAAACTGTCTCCGACTGGGGAAGGATTCGTATAGCAAAAGGTTTTTGCGAGAATCGACTCTGAAGGCAAACAGGAAACCTGCATGGTTCCCAGGGCAAGAGCCTGTGCTTTGGCAAGGTTTCTGAAAGGCAAGCAGCTGACATTTCTGAGTTCAGAGAAATGTGTTGACGAGGAAAGGAAGGTATTCCTCCTGCTTTGCCTGACCATGGTCTACTTGAAAATAGCATTAAATAATGCATGAAGCAACTTCAGACACTTTCTAATAAGCAGGAAACAGGGCCTTTCTCTCCAGAAAGACAATAGATCAGGTACATTCTACTTAATTGTTGCATATACATTCTATTTGATGACCAAATTCATAAACAACATTTTCTTAAACCAAGACCTTTGGAGTTTGACCCTGAATAGCTAGTGAAGGATCCCTCATTCTCATTCTCCATGTAAACCAGTCAGCTAACATGCTAATGTTACTGGCTATAGAAGAAACTTCACATGCCGTGGCAGGGCTCTGTGTGTGTGTGTGTGTGTGTGTGTGTGTAAATGATTTTCAAGTGTGAGTATTTGTAAAATAAAGACAATAATAACCCCTTTGGTGCTCGGCTGAGCAAGTTGTAGTGCTTATTATTTTGAATTGAATTTGGATTCCATTTTGCTGGAAAAGAAATGTGTCTAAGTGATCACAATAACCAACAGAGAAAGCTGTCATAGCTCACAAAATCTAAGAAAACTTACTGACTTGATAGTTACATAGAACTACCAACCCCATCAGAAGCATGCCACTGTGGAAAGGACACAATCTCATCTACAATGTCAACATGTAAAATGAAAGGCTTAGGCCTAGGGTGCTGCTGTGTGACATTTTGAACTATGCTCAGTTTTATTTGCATCAGTATGTGTGCTTTAAAGAACAAGGGAATTAAAGAGGAAGCCATTCTCGACACCATTGTGTAATGAATGAAAACGGTGAATAAAGAAGGCTTTTGTCCCTCTATAGGCACGACCCACCCCAACCCACCCACCACCAGCCCCTCGGCCTTCTCAGACAACCATGCCCTACGAATATCACACCAACAGCATTGCCCTCTGCCCCGAATCAAAAAGTGAGGCACCAAAAGGTAAATTACACTTTGGCAAGCAATCGATCAGACAATTCTTTGAATTTCTCTGAGGTAGTGGACTCCTAATCGTCTCCCAGTTCAAAAGCGTCTCAGTTGCTGGACTAAGAGACAGGTAGAGTACTGGCTTCATGCTGACTCCCTTTCAGAGACTAGTGACTATGATTAGCACATACTCCAAAGTCATCTTCAGTAGCACCCTCACTATTACGTGGAAAACAGGAAAACACTACAGTTACCCCATTAGGAGGGAAAACACTGCTTTCTGAGGGCACAGTTCATTACAACTTAGATTTAATCCCTGCATGTGTCTCGATAAAGTGCTTGGTGCACTGTTAGGTGCTCAAGAAATGTGATGTCCCTAAACATTTCAGATCTCTGACTTAGTAAGACGACAAGCAAAATCAGCAATTAAGAACCAACCAACTGCAGGCTTGACATCTCTGCATGGAATTCTGTAGAGTGTTAAGTTTAGATGGTGTTGGGCAAGGCATGGGTCCACAATTCCATCTTACTCAACTTTTTGTATCAGACTCTCCCAGTTCCATAGTGATCTTATTATGATGTGAGACTTTGGGATTTCTATCTGTAATGAACTTTTCTGAAGACGAAGTGATTAACTTTCTCTGTTGTTCTTCAAGTTTTTCTGCTAGGCATTTAATCAAGACAGGGTCCACTTTAGAATCAAATTTATTCGCAAACCAATGTCCTTCCTTTATAAGCCACCGTAATTCTGCAGCACCGTAGATACATACACTTCGAAGGTGCGAGCCAGTGCAATTGGGGTAGAAAAAGCCTTCATAGTAATTCCATTTGACCAGGCGGGTCTTACTCTGTAGGTCAGACACATCTTGGGCTGATCTGGAAATTTCTCCAGGTATTCCAGGGATCCGGATCAAGGTAGCCCAAAAGTGCTCATCGGGAGAGTATGTATCTTTAGACCAGGCAAAAAAGTCTTCAACGAGGGAGCTGTTGAAAATATATTTAACAAATGCTTGACTTAAAACAAAATAGGCACTGCCTACAAATACCTCAATGTTATGAGGGGGCGCCTCCTTGGAGATGTTTGTCCTTACTGGAAGCTTCATATATTCATAAGGCACTGGTCTGAGCTCATGGTGATAAGTAAACCTTTCCATTTTACCACTAGGAGGTTTTACTGTCTCTAACATATTCTGTCCTTGGAGCTTTGTCAGCTCTGACACTAATTCAAAATTTGACTTCAGGGGAAAGTCTTGCCCACATAGGTTGATGACATATTTCCACTGAACTGAAGACTTGAGAAGGTCTGAGAGGCAATTCAAATCAGCCTGGAGCCTGGAAATATGGGCATACTCTACAGTCTCCAATTTGGAAGCGATGAAAATATTGGAGAAGCACTTAGCTAGGTTGTTCATGGCAACTTTGAACTCTTTTGGTGACTTGAGGTCATAGTGGATGCAGTAAAGATTGTGCTGGTTATAAATGGCATGAATTAGCCTTTCGACCATAATTGCATCTTTGTGGACCACCAGCGAATAGGCTATTGGGAAGCTCTTTTCCTCTCTTGAAACAAGCTTTTCATGGTACCGCCTTAGGGTCTGATAAATATCACAGTCACTTGTCATCGCCACAACATCACCATCCTCCAGGTCAATGATGTTTTGTCTTCTGATTTCCAGACTCTTGCCAATTTCCAAAGGTTCCTGCTCATAGATCCCTGAGCAGTTAACTTCATACCTGACTTCATCCCGGAGAGGTGGATACCTGTTTCTTACAAAAGGGGAGGTACTTAGGGAATATTCAACTAAGTAAATGTCTCTTTGGGGGAAGAGGAGCCGGCCCACATTTAGAAGCTTTAGCAGGGAGAACAGCCATACTGTTAAGAAGAGGACGAAGATCTTCTGCTGGAGGGTGTATTTAAAGCAACATCTGAACATCTTCATTCTGCAGAGGAGAAAGGGATGGCGGCTGTTAATTAACTATTAGGAAGAGAAAAATCAATTTAGTTTATCCGAAGTTTACTGGGTACCACCTACTACACATTCCTCAGAGAGCTGAACCCGAAGATAAAGGAAGCAAAGTCCTTGAACAAATCCAGAAATAATTAAATAGAAATACATTTTCAGTGAACTTTGTAATAGTCGAAAGTCATTCGGAGCGATGTTGGTTATCGCAGTGAACAATAACAATCATAGTTGTTCACTAATATGGTGGAGGGCTGGTTCTAGGACCTCCAGGCAATGGGCAAGATCCACAGAAGTCCAGGTTCCTTAGATTAAATGGCTTAATATTTTCAATAGCCTATACTCAATTTCCTATGTACCCTTTTCTGTTTCTAGGTAATCTACAATACCTAATGTGGTACTCACAACACTTGTTCACGTGGATTCACCATAGCACCAGGTTCAGGGCAAATTCAAATTCTGTT